AGTCTGGCCGGGCCGCGGCTTCTCCGGCCCTTTGTCCCTGCGCTTCCGCGGCGAGGCCGGGCGGGATTGCCGAGGTCGTGGGGAAAATGGAGAACGGTCTTTATCCCCTGGAGGGTAGGATGTCAACAGAAGAACTTGCCTCTAATAAATCCAGTTACTCAAGAATAAGTGGGGCAAATATGGTTAAAATAGGGCCTTTTTTTTATGAGCAGGGTTTTCAGAATTTAGAATTGCTGCATCGGAGTTGGATGAGATTTCTCCGTGTGCAGGAATAGTGGTGGATTTTTCTTTGATCGCTCCTTCATGATCTGCTGGGGGGGGAGGGATTGCAGATTTCCCTTTTCTTTGAAATTTTTCTGCCCAATCTAGAATTGTTTAATAAAGGAATTTATAACATGCTCTGAGATACCGTTTTATGGCAGAAGGTAGCTATGTTTCTGCTTTAGGTATTAATATATTTCAAGTTTTGGTGGACATGAGGGATATGTTGCATGAACAAGGAACAGCTAATAACAACTCTATTTGCCTTGCTTAAGATACATTGGGAGTGTTTGCTTAAATACTAATTCTGATCTGCAGAAAGGAAATTGCTGTTTGCCTCTTCTGTCGCATAGATTTACAAAAATATCTTAATTTAAAATATTTCTGTTTAAAACCAGAATTCTTTAATGGCTGCAGCAAATTATGCAGTGTCATAAGAATTGCTGACTGAAAAAAGAAAAGCCATTTTTACCTAAAATCTTTATTCTCTTTTATAAATGTTAGGAACTGATAGTTGTTATTAAATACACACTTAAGTTTTTATCATCACTTCCCTTTTTTGGATTTGAAGTCTATTTCTCCTTTAATGCTTTAGTGACTTTATTTTAATCTACTGCTCTGTGGAGAAGTGATGAGTCCACTTAGAACTTTAAAGGTGTGTGTCAAAGAGGGAAATGCTGGATGGTAGGAGGGGGAGGATTGGTTTCAGACATGTGTGAAATTATTGTCATGCTTTGAATGCTCAGAGGTGCTTCCTGTGCTGCTTTTTCACTTTAGGAAAAATCACAGCGAGGCTCCTTAGCTTAGTGTTGTGTGACAAGTCACTTTCAAAATTAAATGTTTCCTTAACAGTCTTCAATAGGTATTGTAACAGGGATTTTGATGATGAAAAGATCCTTATACAGCATCAAAAAGCAAAGCACTTTAAATGCCATATATGTCATAAGAAACTGTATACAGGACCTGGTTTAGCTATACATTGCATGCAGGTAAGAAGTCTCAAACTTGCATTGGAATTAATAGTAAACTTTAAAAGGTAAGGGTTTGGGGGCTTCTGGAGTCTCAAAAACTGATGAAGAAAAGGGCAGCAGTGGCCTAGCTCCAGACAGAAATCCTGATGTGCCAGCAGAGAGTATGCAGAAGATCCTGCCATTGTTTTTGGGATGTAGTGAAGGAATTGTAGCATATTGGTGTTCAGAAGACAAGTTCATATAAACTGGTTTTAGAAGCTAATAGCAGCTGATAGTGATTACATAGCACGTGTCAAGAAAATGCTTGGCCAGAGAGATTCTTCCCCTTAGCTGGCTGAAGAACAACTAGAATCTAACTTGAATAGTGGTCAGGAGGATTTTTTTTTTATTTTTTTTTTCTTTAGGTACATAAAGAAACAATAGATGCTGTTCCAAATGCTATTCCTGGAAGAACAGACATTGAACTGGAAATCTATGGCATGGAGGGCATTCCAGAAAAAGATATGGAGGAACGAAGGCGGTTACTTGAACAAAAAACTCAGGGTAAAGTGTTACTTCTACATAGCTGTTATTGCCCTGTATGGTGAGGGAGATTGTTTTCCTGTTCAGAACAATCTGCATGCCAGTGCAGCTGTAACAACTCCCTAATGAATATGGGGATGGTGATTTTACTTTTGAGTATAAGAGGAGGGAAGGGCCAGCGGTGATAGAAGTCTGATGATGCCCAAATGCTTGGATTTCTTTGCTGTCTTAAGTATATACTTGTTTGAACTGCTTTAGTTTATTCTGAAAGCATAAGACTTAACATGAAGGAAGACCCCCATTTATGTTGAGGGTCGTTACAGTGTGAAGTCACTTTCCTTCCCTTAATTATATGTGCATGTAGGTAGGCTCACGTGTTTTCTTATGTATAATTCTCTCCATTTTTGAGTATGCTGATATGACTTGAATTTTATTATTTTCATTGCAACTACAGCATCTCAGGTAAAATGAATTTTGTGGAATGTATCTTGTCTTCAGTGTGACTATATACATTGTATGCCTTAGCAGAGAGCCAGAAAAAGAAGCAACAGGATGATTCTGATGAATATGAAGATGATGAATCTGCGCCTTCAACTTCATTTCAACCCCAGCAAGTCCAGCCACAGCAGGCGTACATTCCCCCAATGGCACAGCCAGGGTTGCCTCCTGTGCCAGGAGCACCAGGGATGCCTCCAGGTGAGATGGTGTTATAAGCTGGTTACTGTAAAGCTGAAAATACAAATTACTGCTTGTATGGTAGAATAATCTGCCTTTTATAACACTTGGTTTTAGAGGTCCCAAAATAGTTCCTTGAGGTGCACGTGAGCAGTTTCTTCACCTTTTTTTCCCTTTCCCTGTTTTGTGTGTGCACATATTTTCCTTTGTGAAGTAAGTTAGATACCTAATGCTTGTGTTCAGATTGAAGGAATGTTAATGTGGCAGTAAGACTGATTAGTACTTTAAACATAAGTCTACCAATGGTATTTATGGTATTTTGTAGCAGGATTTTGGGAACGGGGCAGAAAGGTTGCCACGTATCTGTCTCCTAATGGAGAACAGGCAATTTATACACAAGCCACAAATATACTGAGGAAGGACTTTCCAGCAATGACAGTGACTGAAAGCTAGTCTCTTATCATTATATATTCTGTAATGATAAGGGATGTTCTTTGGAGACTGCTAAGAAAACGTAGTCTTGCAAGTCTGAGAACAATTAATCTTAAGTCAGATTTGCAGATAATCTTTTTGTATTGCATTGTTTGTGAGCAGTGTTAATTCAAAACCCAATCTTTTACAGCTTCCTGTAGAGCATTTATCCAGTCTAAATTTATTAGATGAGATTTGTTAGTGACTGGATGTTGTCAGAGTTAACTTTTTTTTTCTTTTTCTTTTTAGGTATACCGCCATTAATGGCAGGTGTTCCACCTATGATGCCTGGAATGCCTCCAGTGATGCCTGGAATGCCACCTGGGTGAGTAGCAAGAAAGACTTAATATTACATGTTTGTACTATGCATTTTAAAGTGTCGCAGAAAAAGTAAAGTTAATTAGAAAAATGTATGTAGGAACCTGTGAACTCTGTAGCCTTAATATTAAAACTAACAAAAGAACTGGATGGCTGTAAACCAACATTAGATATGTGGCTAAACTGTGAGTTTATGTGTAAAATATGTTTTTCTCCTAACTATTGAGTAGTAGTATAATAACTTAAAGCTGCTTGTGTTGGTTTGGAGCCTTCTGTGAACTGCTGTTCCTTTGTGTATTGCACATAATGTTGTGCAGTTGGTTATCAGTCATCAACCTAACAGGAAAAAAATACCAGATAGTTAAATTATTTTGTAGTTGGGGCAAAAGTAGGATGTTGGGTTTTATGGTTTGGGATTGACACCGTACCCTGTCACAATGTTTTTGGAAAATCACAGTTAGATTTTTGATTTTGTCATAAATTTTCACAGATTACATCAACAGAGAAAATACATGCAGTCATTTTGTGGTGGAAACATGTAAGCATCTCATTAATGTAATTCTAGGTACATTCATTATGCCATTTTCTGTCATGTTTTTAATAAGTTTGATACTGTCTTACTGAAAACCTCTGAATATTGTTTAATTTGGGGAAAATGTCTGTTTAGGTTTTGTTATTGTATAGTATCTGAAGTTTTTATACTTTTATCTAAATATTACAAAACTATATGTTATGAGAAATGCAGTCTACAAAATATTATTGAAATAGACCTCTAGGGACTTAAAACCTCTCTTGAGCTGTAGTACAGCTCCTTGTGTTCAGTCCTTTACATTTTAGGACTTTAAAACTGCAGGAGCTTTGCTTCTAAGTTCTAAATTGCACTGAGGTGAAAGGTATTTCTCTTCAGGGGCATAATTGTTGTTTTAACAGTCTTTGAATTTAAAAACTATTGCATAGTTGAAATTCTTGTAGATGCTTATAATGACTAGCTTTTCTGGATGGAAACTGAATGGAATTTTGTTGGGCTTGCTGATGTTTAGTTCTCCTTAAACTCTTAACTTTAGGTGACTGTAATGTCATCTGGTAAAACACAAAATAATTTGCCAAAAATTCACTGCATTTCCATTTTGGTGAAATTTCAAGGGAGGGAGATGGTGTTTGATTATTTTTTTACCTAGTTTAGTCAAAAGTTTTGTTCACTTAACCTGGAGATCTTTTGTTTAAAAATGAGGAAAGAATTATGACCTAGGAAGCAACTTAGTTTTGGGCGTGACACTAGTTTTAGCGCTGTCCCTGCAGTTTCTCAGGTTATCTCTGGTGGCAGCAGGCAGTGAGCATGCAGCATTCTTACTGGAATCTAACAAGTAGTTGCAAAACGAGTGGCAAGACTTTACTTGGCCTTCTCCAACCATTAACCCACAAAAAGGGGCATACTGTGTTCCCCATCATTCCT